CCATGAGCAAGGAATTCGAGCGTTCGAGGCCGCTTCGTCCGTCAAAGGATCGCCTGTGAGACGACGGTTGCTAGAGATCTGGGATGCGATATCCGCGGTGGGTTCTGAAGGGGAATGTTCCCTGTCACTGCACTCAGATGGGCGTCGCAATGCTAATGTTTCGGGAATTCGAGTATCGACCGTTGACGCCCTGGCAACTACTGACGCTTGACTTGAGATACCAGTGGCAATTTGAACGCTTCCAGAGCGCACATCGTCATGGATTGACACCGAAGTACCAACCTGCGACGGGCTCTCCGCGGCCGCTGTGTTTGCTCTGGCCGTTGCACCTGATTTTGCGCGCAGCGTAGTGGACCGTGGTGCCGAGCGCCGAGCCGTGAGCGCTACAGGTTCTCGGCGGCAGAGGCTCGCCTTGTTCTGGCGAACGCAGCCGTCACATGGGATTGACTTGGAGCAGCGGATCTTTCGTCGCACGCACTCGGTACACGCCAACACGGTCCGTTGACTGCTGCGTGTCTGCGGCTGATTCGCCATCTTTGTTTCGTTGCGTCGTCGCTATTATGCGTGGCACCACAGATTCACAGGGGGCAACCTATGGATTGCTGTGCTTTCTCGGGTGAGCACAATGATGTGAAAGACAAGTCGGCCGAGTTCTAGGTTGGGCAATCGTCAAGACGTGCCGTAGAATGTGGGCTCGGCCGCGATGAGCCTGACACTAAGTGGGTCCGTGTCACGGCCGAGCAGTGTGATGGTGACTCCCAAGGACGAGCAGAGCATATCAGGGTTCCAAAAGAATACTGCCTGTACACATAGTATATATTGTAGGCAATGTACCTGGTTTTTATTTCCCCGTCAAACATGATCACAAGCTTTCCTGTCTCCAGACTCTCGAGATACGAAGTACGACCTGATCGGATTAACTTTCCTTACCAGGCAGGCCTCTCGCGTGCTTCGTCAGCCTTTCTTCTTCATCACCATTTCCAATATCGTCTCTCATAACTCTGAAGATATGGAGACTGACCTTTTGTCGTCCGAAATTTTGCCAGAGACCTTTGGGCCAACTGTCACCCATGAGCACGCTGCCGTGGCTGCCACCGATGAGAACCTTGTTCCGCGCAGGACAATATTGTGTGTTTACTGCGGCGCCTCGGACGGCAACAAGCCTGTTCACATGAAAGCAGCCCGTGAGCTTGCGCGCCTCATGGCTGCCAATGACATGCACCTAGGTTGGCATCCCAAGACATATTTGACGCGAGATTTGATCCTCTCTGACAATTGTCTTTAGTCTATGGTGGTGGAACTGTCGGCCTTATGGGAGAGGTCGCGAAGACTCTGGTATCTCTATCCGGCCCCGGTGCCGTGCACGGCATTATACCAGAGGCCCTGGTCAAGTACGAGCGGAACGACCAGATCCACGATGCCAGCCCTGGTCTGCGGGTCCCTGACGAGAGCGTCTACGGTCGCACTACCATCGTCAAGGATATGCACACCCGTAAGCGTATGATGGCCCACGAGGTCTTCAACGGCGGGCCTGGCTCGGGGTTTATTGCTCTCGCTGGCGGATACGGTACCATTGAGGAAATACTCGAGACCACCACGTGGGTTCAACTCGGCATACACTCGCGTGGGGTATGCCTTTTGAATATTGATGGCTTTTACGATGGTATTCTTTCTTGGATCGAACACGCCGCAGCGGAAGGTTTCGTCAAGGGCGACAACGCCAGAATTGTTGCGACTGCCACAACCGCCGCTGAAGCCATTGCCGCGCTCGCGAGCTATCAAGTCCCCAGCACGACTTTCAAGCTCAAGTGGGACATGGCTTGAGCTTTCGAGCTTGGTGCTGTGATGGCTCGGAAGAGGGGGAGGGAAGGGGCAACTTACATCTGGTGTCCACTACTTACACTGCTGGTTGCAAGTCTGCTTGGACGGCTTACGTATCGGATACGTTAAACACCCTGAAAATAGAGATACTGTGCCATCACGAGGCAGTGCAGCGAGACTCTTGACGAGTCAATGTTGAATCGAAAGCCGAGAAGAGGCTTGCCCATGGGTATGGCCTGCAATGGTGGTGGTTCAGGCGGAAGAGTTGGAATGATATATGTAGATATCTACCTACCCAGGAAGGTACGTGACCCAAGATACCTACCTACCTAGGTAGGCAAGTAGGTAGGTAGAGGTAGGTAGGTAAGGTAGGTAGAGGTAGGTAGGTAAGGTAGGTAGGTACCTTAGGTAAGGCAGGCAAGCTAGATACCCACGCCGGTCAGGTCCACTGGCGGCAGGCAGCTTAGGACCATGTCGTCGCGACAGAGGCCGGCGGAAAGCAGGGCCGACAGGGCGTTTCCAGTGGTAGCGCGATCTGTCAGTGTAGCGAGGTGGGTCGAAGAGAAAGAGCCTGGTCCTGGCTGGTGCTTCTTCCTGCCAATCATCAGACCTCGCCTCGCCAGGACAAGACCCCTCGCCAGGTCAATGTGAAACCTGATTTTGCTTCAACCACCCCCTCTGCCCACGTCAACGTCATCTCAACGCTCCATGGATGCCATTCCGAATTGTCTGGGCAGGTTTCGAGTGCATTTCCAGTGCACCAGCCAGTCCAAGGCTCAGGAACGGGACCGACGGCACAGATCCAAGCCTCCCAGAAGATGGCCCCCCACCTGCCTTACGCCTTAGAGGCACTACTGCGAAACATGCTGGCTGGCGCCCAGGCACCTCGGCGAGCTGCCATCCGTTGACGCCACGAAGCATTATAACATGTCGCCTATGGTCATGCAATGAGGATTCGATCCGAAGGGCGACGGTGATGAGCCTGATAACACCCACGTCGCACATCGAGACCTCTCTCGTGCCGATTCAATTCGCGACGTCCTCATCGTTCCGCTGCACACATCAGATTGAGAGTCATTTCACGCACCACCTTCATCGCCGCGTGTCGACAGTCTTCTTCGCCAATACTATCCTTCCACCCTAGTGTACGGGCTCATTTCCCAAACCCCTCCATCTGTGCTGCCAGATTGAAGCTCCACCCCTTCCGCTTCCCAGACCCCGGCCTGGCCCATTGCACCGCAGTTGCGAATCTGTCGGATCGCTGTACCGCTCCGTGGGGTCCGTCTCAACTCCTCAAAAGTTGTTCCGCGCCCACCGAACGACTCGTCTGCTCCCCCGTCTATTCGCTCTCTCCTCGCCGTTCCTTTCCCCATTGCCGCCTGGACCTCTCCGGCATGCTCGCGGTCTTCTCCCTCGTGGCTTTGTTGCCATTGCTGGCAGCTGCTGCTGACGGCGACGACTATGCACAGAACTTCACAATTAATAACGGCCAGATCTACACGCCTGGTCTCGCTATTCTGAATGCGCCCCAACCCGGGACCCCTCTGGGAGGAGGTCCGTCAAGTCACTGAAGTCTCACGACGGTACACTTGCTAACATGCGCAGAGAACCTCCATGTCTCGCTGGACGTGACTACCAACGGCGAAATCCCGTTGCCGCCCTACGCCGATGACAGCCCTTCAGGCATTTTCAACATCACCATGTTCCTGTCGAGTTATGTCACGGGCCGCAACTTCACCATCTCCAACGGCACCGCGACCGAGAACAACCACACCCTCGGCCCCATCATGCTCCAGGAACCCGGCAGCACCGTCAAGCACGTCAACTGGCTCTTTCCCCGCTGTCTCGTGGGCGACGGCCAACCCTCGGGTGACGATAGCGACCGCGGCCTCTACAACATTTCGATCCGGCAAAACTTTCGTCTCAACGGCGAGGATCACTACACCATTTTTGACGTCCCCGTGCGGTTGACGAACAGAATCGAGGCGAGGGACGACCGGCCCGACTGCGACGCGCTGAACAACCCGCTGCTTTCGCCTGAGGAGCTCGACGTCAACGCGGCCAACGCCGTTGGCATTTTCGCGGCCCCTGGTGGCTCCACGGAGATCGAGGTCAAGCCTGCGAGCGAGGACGGCAACGGCAATGGTAACGGAAATGGCGATTTTGGCGAGCTAAAGCCAGATGCACGCCCCGGCGACGGTCTTGGCGCCGCGGTGCGCTCAGCTGGAGCAGCGGCGCCAGCTGGCTATCCGTGGCGCGATCGGATGTGCTCTGGTCATGTGAGGAGTGATAATTTCTTGTGGTTTTTATTTTTCTCGGTTTGCACTGCTGAGCAGTTTGCTGCTCTCTTCGTGATACCCGGCGGTGCTGTTCGCTGCTCTTAGTACTTAATCTGAGGGTTGGGTTTGATACCAGGCTTTGTCGTTTCGCGATTCGTCTGCATGTGTTCGTTATGTTTCGGGAAGGCTACGAAAGATGGCTCACAGCCGTTACATCATTCTCAAACCATACTATTTGCTAAGCTTGTGTCTACCGAGGTTCACTTGAAAATCATCGTTGCCTCGATCACCTGTCAATTAGTTAGTCTCGGTTCTCAAGCAGTTGAAAATTTCTAACGTCACATTTACAGATTACCCTCTATGCTCCACCAATTGAATCATGGGCCCATTCCCCCGTCAGTGCACCTTTCGCATCCTCTTCCCAAGGGGATTTGAACAGGAGAGGCTCGGACCCGATGCCCGCCCCGCAAGCGAGCTGGTTCCCCTAAACGGTTAAGACGCGCGGGCGAAGCTCCCTTCACATGCACGATCGGCCTAGCGCGGCCTCCGCTCCTGGTGTTGGTGGCTTCGGCTGGTGCCTCCTGGTGGTGTTCGTTGCCCTGCTCGCTAGGAGCACGTCCAGCCTCCCCCGCATTTCCACACAGCACTTGCATGGACCTCGGTGTTTGCGATCTGAAAGAGGGGACGAATAGCTTGCTTGTCTGAGCAATCGTCCGATTTTCAATGTTAGGAGGCAGTGCCACTGGTACATCGGGGGACGAGGCTTGAGCCGCCAGGAGCATGTACCTCTTCGAGCTGCACTAACTGAAGCTGTGGTCCTCTGCCCTGCATGCCGACACCCTTGGCGCGTGCTGGAGATGATGAGCTACAGAGAAGCTGTTCCTATTAGTAGTCTGGTGTCTCCTTCTCGCTGGCGTGGTTACCTCGCTCATCTCCAAATCTCAACATACGAGATCGTGACCCGGGCCTCGTCTACAACGACTGAACACTGCCACGCACCTTATTCCACCACCGAAGACTACTCACCATGCCGATGCACCAGGGTCTCCTCCCTCGCGAGGGCCTCACGGCGGATCCCATCTTCTCCCTCCTCGGCCGCACAGCCCTCAACCCCAGCGTGCTGCTGCCGCTCGTGCTGCTGGCGCGCTACACCAAAAAGGGCGGCGACCTGGCCATCCTCTACCCCACGGCCTTTGCGCGCCTCAAACTCCTCCTCTACGCCTCGCTCGCTCGGTGGGCCAACGCCTGGTTGTCGGACCGCGTACTCAACAACTGGACGAGCGATCGATACGACTGGCGGCGCGAGATTGTGCTCGTGACAGGCGGCGCTGGCGGCATCGGCGGGCACATTGTGCGCCTCTTCGCCGAGCGCGGCACGCAGGTCGTCGTGCTCGACATCCAGCCCATGAGCTTCTCGGCGGGGACCAACGTAACGTACGTGCAGTGCGACCTGACGTCGACGGCGGCAGTCCGGGCGGCGGCCGACGAGGTGCGGAGGCGCGTCGGCGACCCGACGGTGCTCATCAACAACGCGGGCGTGGCGCGCGGCAAGACGGTGCTCGAGGCGTCGGAGCGCGATATTCGCTTTACGTTTGACGTCAACGCGCTGGCGCACTACTGGACGACGCAGGCGTTCCTGCCGGCCATGGTGCGGGCGAACCACGGCACCATCGTGACCGTCGCGTCGTTTGCCGCCTTCCTCGCCGTGCCCAACATGGTCGACTACGGCGCGTCCAAGGCGGCAGCCATGGCGTTCCACGAGGGCCTCACGGCCGAGCTGACGACGCGCTACAAGGCGCCCCGCGTCCGCACCGTGCTCGTCAACCAGGGCTACACCAAGACGGCCCTCTTCACGGGCTACAACCAGGACACGCCCTTCCTCATGCCGGCGCTCGAGCCCGAGACGGTCGCCGAGGCCATAGTTCGCCAGGTCCTCACGGGCCGCAGCGGTCAGGTCATCGTGCCCGGCGCCGGCGCCAGCCTCGCCGGTCTCCGCGCCTACCCGCACTGGTGGCAGGTCAGGCTGCGGGCCCAGAGCGAGAAGCTCATGTCGAGCTTCTCGGGGCGGCAGGTCGTCAAGGACCTCGATAAGCACTACGACGGCAGGGACAAGGAGGCAGACGAGAGCACCGTGCTGGTGAAGTAGGAGTCGTGGCACGATGATGGACGCAGGTTTTCTTTTGTGAGACGATGTTCGGATATGATGTTGTATGTAATGCGGAAGGTTTCTTCTGGTTGATCATCCATCTGACTCGACAGTTGGGTTGCATTGTGCGGCTCACCTGCGAGTCAGATGTTTTCTGAGTGGTCGGGAGAATATGTAAACCAATGCAGTTCCAATGCATGTTCTTTGGAATGCTACCAGATTGCCACGGAGCGAAAATACGACTCGCCATCTCGGCAATGCTGTGTAACCATCTTATTGCATCGTGAGGCCATGACTATCCATCTAGCAGGTGAGTAGTTGGACAACTGCCGGAATACTGAAGCCATCACCACCAAGGGAAGGAACCCCCCCCCCCCCCTCCCCAGCATCCAAGAGTGGAGAGCTTTCGGAGCCACAGCGCCGTTTCCAGAGCACCCTCCCGCTAAAGTGCCGTAACGGGCCCACTACAGAGTCTCCTTAGGTGGTTTCGACCCCTCAGGAGGGTCCAACCCCCCCCCCCCCTGTACCGTACCTTACCTCGTCACACCTCAGCGCACAAAGACGTCGGCAAGCGCAACCCCGATCTCCAGTGACAGAAAGACCGGGACCCGCCGTGATGGGAAAGTCGTGGGAAGCCACGGGCTATCGTGCAGGGCAAGAAGTACCCCGCGGAGAGGGGCAGACTCCGATGCGACCAATCACGGGGCAATGAAATGTCGCGGCGCGGCGTGGGGAAGCAGGAACGTGGCCAGGGTGGTCCCTTCTGCGAAAATCAGCCCATTCTCACTCCACGAGCCTCGTGAAGTCATGCCATTTTTGGGCAAAAGACCACCACCGCCTTCCTCGACTGGGCTCGCGAGGCGGCTTGCCCTCTCACTTCTCACACCATCTACCCGCCCTTCAAAGTCCGCTCATGTCCGGCTAGTCCGATTGATAGTGATTGATACATACTTTACGCTAGCAGCTCGCCCTGAGCTGTGCTAATTTGTTGCTCTTTCACCCTTCCTTTCTCCTGCTGCACCAGGCGTCGTCAACGTCAGCCTCCAACTCTGGTCGTTCGTCGATCCTCGGATTGCGCGCTCGCCTGGCTTCGAACCCCCGAAAGCGAACGGCCGAGCTCGGTTCGACCGCTCCCAGTGACGCTCCCCGACACGTTGGTCTTTTTTGCTCCAGCTCGAGCGAGCGAGCGAGCCCACCTGTCTGGCATCTTGCGCCGGATCGACGACTTCCTGAAACCGATATCCCAGCCGGCTCGTGCTGCCGCCGAACGATCGCGAACCCTAGCACGAACCCTCCCAGAGAGGACAAGGAACAGCACATTTGAATAATCTTGAGAGAAAAGCTGTCAAAAAACAAGAACAGAAAAAGAAACGGCGCATCACGTCCGCCTCGTCGAGTCGCAACCCACCGCCGCTGCCGCGAACAAAGGCAACAACACATCCAGCCATGGTCCCGAGCGCCGTACAGTCGGAACCCTCGATGGAGGACCGGCAATCTGGCGTGGACCGCCTCCAGACCAACTTTGAGAGCTCCTCCGATACCCTTACACTTCTGCGCAGCTTGCCCGAGCCGCCAATCGAGTCGCAGGTATGCGTTATTGGTGCTGGCCCGGCAGGCCTCATGCTTGCAGCCAACCTGGGGCGCATGGGCGTCAAGGTCGAAGTTGTTGATGAAAGAGCTGATCAGACGCCTGTGGGCAGGTGAGTTTTTCTGGATGGAACCATCCGCATGCGATGACAACACGTGCTAACTCTGTTCTCCGCGTAGGGCAGACGGACTGCAACCTAAGACGATCGAGACATTTCGACAGATGCGCCTCGCGGACCCCCTGCTGAAGCGCGGCGTTCGAGTTTATGACATCTCTTTCTGGAGGAGTACCGCCGAGGAGCCGCTGCACAGGCTAGGTCGCGAGGTGCACTACCCGCCCGTCATCGATGTCCTGGACCCGTACATTTTGTTGGTGCACCAAGGCATGGTGGAGAGCCTCTTCATTGACGACCTGAAGAAACGCGGCGTCGAGGTGCGGAGGAACACGGCTTTTGAGTCGTTCAGTGTCCCGGAGAACAAGGCTGGGCCCTTGCAAGTGAATTGCAAGGCCAACGTTACCCAGGACCGGAGGACGATATTGACACAGTACCTCGTCGGCTGTAAGTTCTTTTCGGCTCGACGAGACCGCGACACGACAACAGCTGACTGACTTCACAGGCGATGGTGCGCACTCCAAGGTCCGCAAGAGCATCCCCGAGGCGAAGGCCATCGGACTTTCGCAGGCCGCCATCTGGGGTGTGCTCGACGGCGAGCTGATCACCGACTTTCCCGATATTTGGTCCAAGACTCTTGTCTACTCCCAGGAGCATGGATCCATCCTCATCATTCCTCGCGAACGCAACATGACGCGATTCTACATTGAGTTGAAGTCTGCTGGTGCAAAGGTCGATAGACAGCAGCTGGGCCAAGAGTTTGTCATGCGCCGCGCGAAGCAGATCATGGCGCCTTACAACGTCGATTGGAAATACATCGAGTGGTTCGGACGCTACCAGATTGGCCAGCGTGTCGCCAGCCGTTTCTGCGACTCGCACCTGCGCGCTTTCCTCGCCGGCGACGCCTCGCACACTCACTCGCCCAAGGCCGCTCAAGGCATGAACACGTCCATGCACGACTCATGGAACCTTGCCTGGAAGCTCAACCTCGCAGTAAGGGGCCTTGCCAAGCCCTGCCTACTCGAGAGCTATGAAGAGGAGAGGAGGAAGATTGCTCTTGACCTCGTCAACTTTGACTACGAGCACGCCAATCGCATCGCCGGTGGTGACGCTGTTGCTCTGTCCGAGAACTTCAAGACCAACGTGCGTTTCATCTCAGGCGTCGGCGCTGAGTACGCCGAGAGCCCTCTCAACCAGACGGAACCCCAGGGTATGCTCATGGGTGACGCCCGGCCCGGTTGCCTGCTGCCACCGGCCAAGGTGACGCGCTACATTGACTCGAACCCCGTCGACATTCAGCTCGACATTCCCATGATGGGCCAGTTCAGAATCTACCTCCTTATGTGGGACATCCAAGCATCTAACCCGTTCCTGGAGACCTTCTGCCAGGCCATCGCCTCGACAAACTCGTTCATCAGCAAACTGTCCGCCGCCGCCAGCGCCTCGTACGCGGCGCAACCCCGTCTGCCCTCCTCGGAAGACATCTACTCGCGGCCGGAGCGTTACACTGCCGTCAGCCACCTCTTCACCTTTGCCCTCATCAGTAAGCCTTTTTCCCATCTTGCGATGTTCGACTATGCGTACTAATAGCTCAGCTACAATGCCGAAAACCGATGTCGAGATCTCTGATCTGCCGGCCCTCTTGCAGGACAGCCGTTGGACCTTCTACCTTGATGACATCCCAGAGCAGGATACACGCGGCTCACTGTGCACGAACAAGTGGCTTGGCAGTCTCGGCCCCGGCGAGGTCGCCATTGTCAACGTTCGGCCCGATGGCTACGTCGGCTCCGTCGGAAGGTGGGACTCGAGTGTTGACGACTCGGGTGTCGAGGCGGCCAGGTGGCTGGACAGATATTACGACGCATTCTTGCAGCTGCCTAACGGCGGCGGGGCGGCAACAAGGTCGCCTTCTGCATCTGCGGCGGGAACGACGCCCATGGCGACCGAGTAGAGCGTCTCCCTCGGGGAGGCATGATGCCGTGCCTTTGTTGGGCTTGGTGTTGGGGCGCCGATGTGCTTTCCTGGCCGGCCAGCTTTATGTTTGGGGGTTTCTTTCGAAATTTCATGGAGTCAGGTCAGACTAGAAGACTGTTTTGGGTTCGCAGGGGGCAGATATATTCGAACCGATGCCACACGAATTTGGACAACGCTCTACTAGACGAGAACACGACCAAACGGAACATCCTTTAATCTCTTACTTAATTGCACCAGCCTGAGAAATACTGATGTGGCGTTCCGGCGAGGTTGTGCAGCGAGTATCGGAACAACCCACTGCAAACCGACCTGCGCCGTACATGGTAGGAACGCAGAGTCGTCGTTAAAACTCTTCGCTCTTCGCACTAATGCTGCATGAGGTAGAACCGGCAAAAGAGTTCAGGACAAGCTGGTCCCTACATCTCTACCGCCGACTCGAACTCGCGTGCGCAAAGGAGGAATGGGGGGACATCAGGGTCAAATCACGTCAATCGTTTTGGGACCGTGGGGTGCGTATTCGGCGAAGTGCAACGTAGTGAACCGCTCGACCATGGAGGACCGGGAGGGGCGTCGATTGTCGTTGGGCAGAGCACGCTGATTTGCGGTTATGAAGGGTGGTGGGAGGGTTTGGCTGATTGGTGATGGTGGTGAGGGGGTGTGCGCTGGCTTGGGCACCATGAGGGGTCACGAGGGTCAGATGGAAGAGGCCCAGGCCAGGTCGATCTGCTTTTGGGGCTCACCTCACAGCCCAAACATGGGACGAATTTTGGTTATTCTTGCGCCGTCTCGACTTATGGGTTTGTTGATGCTGAAACAGATTTTCGGCGTGAGTTTGAACATGTGCGCAGCTCCCCATTTTACCTCTGGCGTCGAGACGGAAGAGCGATGAATGTGTGGATCGTATCATGACAGATTGAGGTATCTAGGCACTCTCAGAAATAAAGTATAGTCAGGATCCTCCCAGCAGTCTCGCCAATCAGCCATCGCTCATCACCCATGATCTGTCCCTTTGCCATGATCTGCGCCCAAGTCCCGTCCGCGAATCGAACTTCTCTCTGCAGGGCTCCATCGTCGTCGGCCCCTTTCGCGCCTTCGAGAGCGGCACTGGCCGTGCCCTGCTCCGGGTCCCTGTTCACACTGACGACATCCATGGTGAAGCACTGCCGCGCACTGAAGCGCACGCCCGCCGCACGATCCACGACCTGCGCGACGGTCAGGTACGGGAAGTCCTCGTGTCGCCAGCACGGCGCCCAGCCGGGCCACGCATCCTCTTCTTCCATGGCGAACGCGGCCCCTCGACAGGCCGGACTGGCCGTGTTGTCGCTGCACTCGTTCACCCATACAGGCCCGTCGCCCTGCAGCGGGGATGCCGGTGGCGCGTACGCTGTGAAAGCGGGGGTGGGAGGAGACCGGACTGGGAGCCCGCGGCCCAGCGGTTGCTCTTTCCGTCAGGAAGAAGAGGTTGCCTGTCGACTGCCCATTGTGGGGATCGCGGGTCTCGCTGTCGAGAGCGAGATATCGCAATGACGGCGTGTCGGACTGCGAGGACCCGAGGGCGCGAGATGTTCGTTCGTATGCTGCGTATTCATGTCTGGCTCGACAGGGCGACGAGATGCAGGACTCTGCTTTCGGGGGTTGTCATGTCCAGATCGTCAGGCGTTCGAGCGGGCTGTCTTCACCCCAGGGCGAGCGATTGGGTTGCCACACATAGAGGGCGTAATGAGTTGCATTGTGGGCAGAGTAGAAACGGTCGTTGGTGGCCAGTGGGAGGCCTAGGTAGTGGATTTTCCACTCGGCGCGAAGGGCAAAATGCCATCTTTGTGGCCTGAGTCTCTCTCCTTCTACAGCATCACCGGACTTCGACGCACCCAGGTCTGGCAGTGTGTCGTACTCCTCCTTGTCTGTCCACACGTCAAATGCTGAGGCGAAGTGGCGATGGACGCCTTCGCCTTCGTTTAGCTGGTGGAAAGCCTCCTGCTCTGCCCACTCGAAAACAAGCACTCCGTGCTCGAGTCTCACCCGCCGTACTATACGACCTTTCGCGGTGAATGGCACAATTTGCGAGATGCCCAAGGCTAAATCCAAAGCGCAGTACTCCTGGCCGGATACCGGGTACACGAGCAGACCCTCGACCGAGCCGTAAGCCCAGACGACATCGTCGTAGTACAAGGGCATTGTCAAGTCATCGAAACGTAAAAAAGTGTCCCAAGGCATGACCCCCTCGAAAAGATTCTCAGCTGGCAGCAATGAAACCTCTCGCGCGGAGGAAAACGCGCCTGTGGTCTGATGATGGTGACGGCGGGCAGCGACGGCGAATACGACAGACCAATCTTTCGCCCGCACCACGGCGTCCTCCGCGTTTTCGCGCAGCCTTCGAAGCAATCTGGCCTCTCGCGAACGCGGCAGCATGGAGAGAAGGAGATGCTTGCAGAGATTTGCACGCGTCAGCGCATGATGAATGGTCCGGCTGATGAGGCGGCATCGGACCACTTGGGATGGCGGCAGCAGCTCGAGTGTCAGCAGGAGAAGGTCCTCGGGAAGGCCCGTGAGCAAATCCATGACTATCGCCGGATATAAAGTTGAGACACTTCATTCAACTTGCGGATGAAAGAGTGATCGACATCGTGTTCACGGTATAGGTTAGGTGCCTAGGTGCTCAAGGTAGTCAGGTCCAAGGCCGGAGGTCTGAAGGAGGCAGCTAAATATCGCTGCCCATGGAATAAAACTCAGCGTGCGACGCATAAAACTTCACAGTTCCTACCGACGCATATTTAATTGAGTATCCTGATAGCACATCAAGGAAGAATGACGGTACCTTGAGGGGAGTTGAAAGTCGTCGGATGAAGTTACGAAGTGGGGTGAGAGGGGTGGGCGACAACCCTGGAGCCTTGTCTAGACAGGACGCTTCAATTGGCCAAATCCACAAATGGCTTTCTTAAGAACCAATCAACATCCGCAGACTGCCTGCAAGGCTGACCTGGATCAGAGAAAAAAAACTTCTGGAGTACACACTTGGGCGGTGCATTCGGTAGCGCCTCTCAACCATCACCACCGCTAACCACCACCCGACATACTCAGCCATGGCCGACAAGCAGGAGTTTGAGGATTTTTCCGACAATTCCTCCATTGCGGAGGAGCTCGATCTCTCCGACGAGTCCGACCAGGAAGTCGACGTCTTCAACCTCACCAAAGCTCCCGTCGCAGAGAAGGACGCCGAAGAGCAGGAGCTCGAGCGCCTGGTCCTGGGAAGCAAAGCGAGCTTCCGCCAAAATCTCTTCAGCAATGATTCCCTGGCCGACTTTGATCTTCTTGAGAAGGAACGCCAACTGCAGCTCACCAAGGCTGACGAGCCCAACCTCGAAGGCGTGGACGATGCCGACCTTTTCTTTGTCGACGCCGCGCCCAGTGCACCCGGCCAGCACAGCACACAACCGAAGAAGACCGAAAAAGAGGCTGCAGCATCGGCCGCCGCGCCGGCCTGGGAGGATAGTGATGACGAGCGATTGACTGTATCGCTGGCGGGCGTGTCACAGCTGCGCAAACTGCGCATTGCCGAGGGCGAGGATGTGTCACAGGAGCCGAGTACGCACAGAGGCTTCGACGCCAGTATCTGGCGCTGAATCCTCTACCAAAGTGGGCCAGGGAAGCCGAGGGCAGGCCTGCTAAGAGGAGAAGAAGGTCGTCCGCTGCGGCATCAGATTCCTCTAGCAGCTCTGAAGATGACGATGCCGAGGAAAGTGACAGTGAGCTTTCTGCGGCGCCGCTGGAGAAGCTGTTGCGCGACGTCGGCCGTCTCGCGGGCAAGGACGACGGCAAGAAGAGGAGGCTGCGGCCCGAGGTCATCGACATTCAGCGAACCCGCCCCATACCCGACACACACAAGGCCGCCGTCGGCAACCTCTCGTTCCATCCCGAGTATCCCGTGCTGCTCTCGTCGAGCGTCGCGTCGGTACTTTTCCTCCACCACATCAACCCTACGGCACACCCGACACCGAACCCCATGTTGACCTCGGTGCAGGCCAAGCAGATCGATGTCAGGAGAGCCGAGTTCCTCTACCCGGGCGGCTATCAGATTTTCTTCGCCGGCCGCCGAAAGTACTTCCACAGCTGGGACCTGCAGTCAGGCCTGGTGCAAAAGACGTCACAGATTCAAGGCCACAATGCCGAACACAAGTCGATGGAGCGCTTCAAGCTCAGCCCCTGTGGACGGTATATGGGTATTGTGGCATCGTCGAGGAAAGGCGGTGGTATTATCAATATCATCAGCGTTGGCTCAAGGCAATGGATCGCCGCAGCGCGCCTCGACAGCCGCCACGGTATCGCGGACTTTGCATGGTGGAGCACGGGCGATGGCCTCACGATACTCGGACGAGGCGGCCAGGTTGGTGAGTACAGCATGGAAGAGCGAAAGTTCCTCGGCATCTGGCACGACGAGGGCTGCATCGGCGGCATTGTCGTCGCGCTCGGTGGCCACCAGGGTCCTGCCAGCCTTGGCAACGACCGGTGGGTCGCTGTCGGCTCGAATAGCGGTGTCACGAACATCTACGATCGTGCCGAGCTCTTCGCCACAAACAAGGCGGGCATCAACACGATCAAGGCAAACCCGGAACCGACACGTCGCTTCGAGCAGCTCGTCACACCCGTCACAGTCCTCACGTTCTCGCCTGATGGACAGCTGCTGGCCTTTGGCAGCCAGCACAAGAAGGATGCCCTCAAGCTTGCGCACCTGCCTAGCTGCACCGTGTACAGGAATTGGCCGACAGAGAACACCCCTCTCGGACGGGTGACGTGTGTAGCATTTGGAAGGAAGAGCGACCTGCTCGCCGTCGGAAACGACGTCGGTAAGATCAGACTATGGGAGATTATGAGCTAGGTGCGGGGTCCAGATGATGGGATTGCAGATAGGTACCGGAATGATGCCTCAGCTGAGGGAGAGGGAGAGGATGACCTCGGATAAGATGTATAAAGAGAAACCATTCCCAAATTGTCTGCATGTGGTCACTCATGTACTATGGCTGCTGTGCCTCGCCCGACCTTGATTATCCAGTTCCTTGCCAAACACTACACCACAACCTTCCTGCGCTGATGAATCCTGGGTTTCATCCTACTTGCAAGGCAAATGTTGGCTTCCGTCCTCTCTGCTACCGCAGGCTGTCGCGTTGAGATCCAGACCGTCAAGGGAATCTATGACTTGTGTCAGCGCAATGCTCGATACGTCCTAAA